GCCAGGTGGTGCAGGAGAGACATGAAGGCTGAGACCCAGGGGACACAGGGGCTCTCTCCCTGTGTGCAGACAGGTGGGTGGACGCTGCAGCTCAGTATAAGGAACTGGGCACTACAGAAAAGAAATAGAAAAGGTAGAAAAGAAAAAAAGGAAACTCCCAGCTGGAGCTGTCTGAAAATGGGGCAGACTCTCTATGAATAGTGAGTTCCCCATCACTAGAAATGTGCAAGCTGAGAACATTTTCATACACCTGATGGGCCGTTGGAGTCAATGGCTTTGAAGACACTCTCCAGCTTTGAAATCCCGAGCCTGTGGTCCCTCTGCCCCAGGCTCCCACGCAAGCGAGCTCAGCAGCAAGGCCTGACTGCCTCCCTGCAAGCTGTTGCTCTCAGCTCCATGGCCCCTAAAGTCAGTCACTGATGTACCAATATCAGGTGTGAGAGGTGGGGAAAGTAACTTGTTTCTGATGATAGTTAAAATACCCAAGTTTTTGAATGAGCACTTCCATAGAAATTAGAAATGTAAGAATGATGTTATTAAAGGCATAACTATGCACTTGCTTGAGTGGGAGGCAAAGAGGTGGTGTGTTGGCTGAAGCTGCTGGGATTGGGTACAACCGTTGCCCTGGCCACACGTGCGCAGCCTGGAGGTGGATACCACCCGCCAAGGGCAACTCTGGAGAAAACAGGTCCAGGGTCTTCAACCTGGCAGGGGCTTCTCTCTCCCAATTGGGGCTCCTCCTGCAGGGGCAATAGGGCAAGTGGCCACCTGCTCTGAGGCCAAATCCCCTCCCTCTGTACCACCCCAGGCAATGGATGGCTCAGTTACACCCCACCAAACCCCAGGTCCTGAGTCCTGGCCAAGTCCCCTCTGCTAACCCGGTGTGCGTGTGGGCATGTGTGTTGGGGCACGGGGGAGACCCACCAACCAGGCAGGCTACTTTGGCCCCTGGTCATTAATTTTGTCCCCTGGAAGGGAACAGTTCCAAAGCTCTTTGTTCATCCAGAGTCTAGCTTGGTCCACCAGGGGCCAGGGAAGTAAGTTCTTCTCAGTGCCCAGGGCTCCCGCGCCACCCGTCTTCTTGTTATGTGAATCTCGAGATGCTGTCTTGCTTGAGAGCAGGAAAGCAGCCTGGGAACCCCAGAAGAGGAGAGGTAACCAGGTGTTGGCTAAGGATGGGTCAGCAGGGATGTGGCAAAGGAGAGCAGAGCAGGGCTGTTTGGGAAGGATAAGCCCAGGCCACCTGGGACCTGTGCCCAGGTGTGCTGTGGGCAGTGTATTCACTCAGTAAGGAGCAGGGCTGCAGGCAAGGTGAGGAACGGGCAGTTACTCTGCACCTCAAGCCCCAGTGTGGCCTCCACACTTTGGGAAATCACTTCACCTCTCTCTGCCTTGGTACTCTGCCTTGGTATTGGCTATTGGGCAGGGCCCCTCCCCACCTCTGATGTCCAGTGTCACCAGATGGCTGCGGGATTTTCAAGGGGCACAGGGCAATAGGCAGGCATGCATCCCCTGGGAGGACCCCTGAAGTCATCCACCAGGTTGAGGTGACATTTGCAAACTTGAGAAGAGACATTCCAAGGAGACCACAGTCTTTCTTCACTCTTTACTGTGTAAAAATAAACTCAACAATTCATGTCATTTCAGCAAGAAAATGAAAAAGAAAAAAGCAAGAATACCAGTAGAAATAGTGCATTTCCAGAACTGCTTATGGGAGGTGGCAGGTCCCATGGTTTTGACCCATTAGATACCCAAAAGGCTGCGGATCATATGAAAAATGTACAGCTTTGGTTAGCAAATAATGAAAAAGTAAGATACATCAATTCTCTTTCCTATTATACAGTATATACAATATAACAATATCAACCATAGGGAGTTTGCTTTGTTGTTGTTGATTTTTTCTTTTCTTTTTTTTTTTTTGGCAAATAAGACAAAATTGGGACTTTAAGTATTTGGGCTTTTTTTCTCCTCAGTGACTTGTTCCCCTTCGACAAATGGCACTTAAGTCCACTGTGCATGGAAGTGATACATTTCCCGTCATTAGTTGAATAAATTTATACACTGTGTTTTAAGAGATGAAACCATGACTGCTTTAAGCCACATTTTGGCCATAAGATTACAAAGGATACTATCCTCTTAATGTTTACAATTCGGAACCCTAGTTTCTTCTATCAGGGTTGGAACTGACCATCAAGTCCTCAACTCATTCCACTTAACAAGTCAGCTCGAGACAGAGGGGCCACCATAAATGGCCAGTGTACATCCTATCCCCGACACATCTTTGAGAACAGGTGGCCCCTCTTTGGAGCACATTGGAACGACTGTGACCTTCATGCCAGCCTCTTCCCTCCCCTTCACTCCCCACAAGACACCCCCTTGGTCTCAGGTCCCAGGGCTGGTGACAAAGTGATCTTTGCAGTCTTAGAAAATAAAACTGTGAATCTACAAAAGGAACAGAAAGCATACAAAATGTATCTCTTTCTTCCAAAATAACATGCTTTCAGTTCTACGTTTTTGGCGGAGCCTGAAAGTATTTTCAAGGGAAATATAGGTTGAGTTAATTTATAGGTTTGTCCTTTTCTTTCATAAAAATACTCGTTTGGTAATAAACTTTTTCGTCTAGAGTAAGAGAAATAATACTGTTATCAAAAGCAAGAAAGGCTTACGATTCAAGTGGGCTCTAATCCCCCGAGGGCCCGGAGAGCCTCTGTCAGCAGCTCTCCCACCTCGGACACCCAGGGAGCTGTGGGACACCAGCTCGGCGAAAGAAAACACTGTCTCGACAGTGCTTTTTTATCTTCTTATTTTATAAAATGGCTTACCTGAGATAGGCATGTATTATTCAGTGCAAGAGGGAACATCAGTCAGATTAAGGGGTAGTTGGAAACTATGTGGATTAGATTTGTGGCTGTGCAATCGGCCTTCCTCCGGGCTGGCGAAGTGCCAAGTGTTACCACAGTAAGGGAGTCCGGGGCTTGGCACAGGCTCCAGCTGGGGAGGGCGGAGGGAGTTAAACATCAGCTTCCATCCCTGGCACCGCAGGTGTGTCAGGGGAGGGGCGAGGAGGGTGAACAGGTCGGGAGGCTGAAGGGACACAGGCGTAAGCATCTGGGGTGTGCTCTGCCCCTCTCTACTTAGGGCAGAGGATGGCTTGTGGTCCTGAAAGGACAGCTCCCACTGTGCCCACCGGGACAGGAGGTGGTCCGGGGTCTGGTAGATCCATAGATCGGCAGGGGCTGGTGGGAGGTGCTGATGGGAGAGCACCTAGCACACTCTGGGCCTTGCCTACAGCTCTGAGATGGCTGAAGTGAGGGGTGGGGCCGATCTGGTCTAGAGGGGGATACTAAGCTCTCACTCTCTCCCAACCACAAGCATTGTTAGGCTTGTTCTCAACCTACACGTTAAAAATACTTCTTGGTGTGTTTGGGGAGTGGGGAGGGGGAGAGGGAATCCATCTCTCCCTTGACCTCCTCCGACACCCTTGGCTTGCTTACCCAGCCATTTTTAGTGGCTACATGGATGGTCACAGAACAATGGGTGGCACTGGGCACACAACAAAGAACCAGAGAAGTTCATGCAGGCAGGGGAACACACACCAGACTGAGGAAGCCAGGGACATGCCACCCCAAGGAACATGCAAACAGAGAAGATCCCTTCAGATCCACAGATGCTATGGCCCAATGGGCTCTGACAAAGCACAGCAGTCTCAGAAAAAGCCACCGTTGAACCACAACACGCAGCCTGGCGCCTGGACCTCACCCTCAGCACTAGAGTGATGCATTGCAGAATGGCGACTGGGTACCGTGCAGACACCCACGCGGACACCAACACAGAGACACCAACACAGACACACAGATGCACTAGGTTTCCGACATAACACGGACCTGCGTTTGAGGAGACAGGTGCCCTGGAAGGAACAGAAGACAGAAACACCTGCTCCTCCTGAAGAAATGTCTGCAGCTGTAGATGAGCCAAGCAGTGCAGTAAAATTTCTAGAAAGACTTGCCAGCCTTTTGCTAATTAGACTCCTGGTGACAGAGTCCAGGTCGCCCTCAGGGTGTGCGACCCCCAGATGGTACAACAAAACAGGGAGCTCACCCTCCCCTGGGCGTGATCCGTCTGAGTGCTCTTCTGCTCGCTCTCATTCAAGACACACACACACACACACACACACACACACACACACACACACTCACTCTTTTCTCCCCGCCTTGGAAGGACTAGAAGGAGGCGCACATGTTAGTTTTTCATACAGGGAAAGAAATGTCAAAGCTTCTGGACACTGGCTGGGTCTCAGTGTCACCAGCTGGTGACAGGTTGGGGGCTACATCAGGACTTGTGCTCTGTAAGATGGGGGAGTGGATTTCAGGCCCCGGCCTAGCCATGCGTGGCTCCCCAGGAGAGGTCTCCAGAGGCCCTGCCCCCTTGGAGGGCTCGCCTCGGCCCGGGTGAAGAATATGGCTGTCAGAGTTACCACGGACCTGGCCCGTCGACTGGCTGGGTTCAAGCTCCAGTGGCCCTGTGTGGCTGGGTCGTAATCAGAGTGCGGGTTTCCAGGTCTAAAAGGTCTGCTCTCAAGCTGACCCACCAAAGCCTCTGGTCTCCCACTGCCAGAGGCCAAGGGGAGGAGACCAGGGGTCCTGGCTTCCTGGGCTGTGGATGAGATGTTCCTCTCTTGGGGACACTAACTGGCAGCTGAAGGGGAGTCTGAGGACGTGGGAAGGCTGAGGGCCACAGACGGTATCCTGGGCCAGAGCTGGCCGAGCTGGGTATGCAGGCTGGCCTCCCAGGCCCAGGGCTGCCCTCAGATGCCAACAGCAGGATGCTGGCCAGGCACTGGGGGTTGGGGGAGGGACTGCCCGGATCCTGAGGCTGGTCCCACCTCCTCTGCCCCCCGCCCAGCATGTGGTGCCATCACAGGACACTGTCTGCCTTCAACCCTTCAGAGAGAATTCCTTCTATGACAAAATACAAATTCTCCATGGAGAGGCCCCCGGCCTTTAACAGACTGCTAAAAGGTATTTATTTTATCAATATAGAGATATGTCGCTCTGAAAAACGTTTACAAACAAAGACAAATGCGTTGCAGAAGAAGGTGCGCCAGCCCCAAGGCCCACGGCGGACACCAAAGCTGGCAATGCAGATGGTAGACCAGCCGTGAGATTTCCCAAAGCCACAGAGAAAGAAGAAATGAAATACCTCATTTTAAAAGAGAAGGCCTCCCCAGAGAGACAGACCCTTGTAGACACACAAACACACACACACACACACACACACACACACACACACTCTCACACACAGGTCCTCTCACCTACGTGTGCATTTTTCAAAATGTTGCAGCTGCCAGCTTTACTGGTGAACAGGGCATGCCTGAGAAACAGTGCGGGCTCCTAGAGAGAAGTGGGGACACCTCGGGGACAGATGGGAGCCGGGCCTGCTTCACGTGCACGAGGACGAAACCAGGCTGTGTGCGTGTGCGCATGTGCGAGGGCGATGGCCTTGAGTCATTCCTGGGGGAAAGGGAGAGAAGAAGAGACGACGGATCATCACCACACAAGCAGGGGGGAAGCGGGAGGGGGCTGGGGACCTGGGGACCAGGAGGCTCAGCCCGGCCCTGGGCCTCAGTTGATCTGGCGACAGGCTTCGAATGTCCACTTGGTGGCTCCGCCGTAGATCTCGATGTGGGACTCAGCCCAGGCAATGACGTTGCCGGAAAGGGCCTTGGTGCTGCAGGTGGCCAGGTTGTACACCTCCCCCGGGGTCAGCTTGCGGTCCCAGATGTTGAAATGGGCCAGCTCGCCCACGAACGCTTGGGTGGCATCAAACCCGCCACCCAGAGTGTCCTTCAGAGAAAAGCAGAGGATGAGGGTGGAGGGGGTCATAGCAGTGGGGGCCTATCAGGAGGGCATCCCTAGGGGGAAAGGCTCTCACGTCTACCTCTGGTCCATTTGTCTCCCTGTGTCTGGTCTTCAGCTATCCATCAGTCCCTCCCCTGTGGGGAGCTCAGGAAAAGGAGTGATGCTGGCCTCCTCTGCCCTGGATGCAGAGCTTCTCCTGGGGGCACCTGAGAGCTGCCCAGTGAGGGAGGGTGTCAGCCAGGTCCATGGACAACTGTGGGAGCAGTGCCTGGGGGGCCTCCCCTACACTCCCTGCCTCTAGTCAAGAAACTCAGATGTCGCTCTTTAACAGCAATAGCTGCCCAATGAGAATGGCAGCTCTGGGGCTCTCCTGCCTGCCTTTCCCTCCTGGGTGCCCAATGGGAGACAAACCACTTCCAGGAAATAAATTATGCATCACTAAATGCACATTTGGTCTTCCTGTGCCAAAGAGCATTGCTGCAGTTGTTGAGAAAGTTGTGGAGAGCCTTGAGACCAGAGCCCACTCCTGCTTGCCTTTCCTGAAAGTGCCCACTCAGAGCAGGGGCTTTGCTCAAACTGCTGTATCACTTGCTTCCCTCAGCTACTTCTAGGGGAAACCACTTGCCTCTCCAGCTCCCTGCCACTTTGCTCCCTGCTGCCTCTCTGTCCTCTCTCCCAACACCCTCATTCTCCTTTCTCCTGCCTGGTCTCTGGTTCTGGGGCTCCTCCCCCTGCAGCTGCCCCCGCTTTCCCTGCCCCCATGGCCTGTACCTGCTCCTGGCCCAGCACCAGCACGCCCTGTGGCTTGATGGGGTGATAGGGCGCCAAGTTCTCGCCGTTGCCTCCCTGGGTGCCATCCTGGTAGGCTTCCCAGACCCCGTCCCGGGTGGTCCAGGTGATGCAGATGTGGTGCCACTTGCCATCATTGATTACAAAGGGCAGCTTAGCCACCTGGGAAGGAGAACAACATACAGAACATTACGGGAACAGGGGTACAATCAGAATCAATTATCATCACTAGTTAGTAGTTCAACCGATATTCATAGGCATTTACAATAAATATCAAGAGCTGTTACTGAGTTCTTGCAGCACCTGCCCCTCTGGACTGCCAGGCCCATCCATTGATGGAGCACAAAATCACAAAGGAAGTGGCAAGATTTGTCAAGCGGGCTCCTAAGATCGATCTGCATATGCATGCAATCTCCTCCCTCTTGGCTAGTCTATGAAACAGGCCCTCTGATGGAGGAGGGCCACCCGGGGGCTGAGTTCACTGCTGCTTTCTGAGCCTCTCCTCTCTTCCAACACTCCATCTCTAATTGCCAGATCTCTGGGTCTACAACCCGCCCAGCCTTTTTGCAGAGACTCTGAAAGATGCCAGGGGAGATGGCACCATGCCTTTTAATGCTCAGACCAGCCTCTCACCTGGAATTTCACTCACGCTCTTAACATTTCAGGCAGGGAGGCTGCCTCAGCCAACGAAAGAACCCTCACACCCTTTTAACTTGGGGGAAATGGGGCCCCAGAAAGGCACAGCCCTTTCTAGGCAAGGCATCAAGAGCGAGGGCTTGGAATCTAATTCCCAGCCTAGGTTTTAGACGTTTACTACCAAAGCTGGCATAGAGATGAGGGAGTTTGGGAGTTGGCAGCTATTCCCACAGCTAACGGAGGGCCAAGATGGAGACGGGTTCCCTGGAGGGAAAGTTTGCCCTCTCCCAAGGACTCACCCAGATCTGGCCTCCTCCCAGGGGTAGGGGGCTAAGCAGGATTGATTTGGACTCTCTAGGAGCATCTTTACCACCCCCCCAGCATCTATGGCCTCCCAAATATGGGGGAGCAAAGTCAGCTCCAAGGCCAGCTGGGGGAGGAGGAGTCTGTCAGATGGATTGTCCCCCTGGATTATCCTCCTCCACCGCCAGCCAGGAGGCCTCTGTCTGGGAGGCCTGTTCATGGAGCACGGCAAGGGCACCCCTACCCACTTCTCCCAGGCCTCACCCTGCACTTCCCTCAGCCCTGCCTGGCAGGCTCTCCTCTTGGGGCCACAGTAGCATCTGAGGCTGTGTATCTCATGCTACCGAGACCTGTCCCAGCAGCTGGCACAGACTGGGGCCCTGGGGGCCTCGCTCTGCTGCTCTGCAAGTCCAGAGGGGTGGGGACTCTACCTTGTCGTTGATGAGGATCTCCATGGGGTTGTTGCCCCACTCAATGAGGACCAGCTCATTGGCCTGGCCGGGCACGGCATAGGAGAAGGGCGTGCCCAGCCCTGGCGCTGCGCTGGACTTGAGCCACATGCACACCGTGAAGGCGTACATCTCCGGCAGGCTCTTCTTCACCTTGGCATACATGTAGTTGGTCCGCAGGGGGAATGTGAGCTGGAACTTGTCTCCAGGGCGCGTGTCCTTCTGACCTGGGGAGGACGGGACACAGTCCAGATACCTGCACCTTGACGAAGTGCCTGTCCCTGACTAAAGCAGGCTTGCCAGTGCCCCTGCCCCCAACCAGGCTTGGTGATGCAGACCAAGCAGACTCCTCTCTGTCCTGTAGATGCTGAAAAGGAGGCTCGGAGAGGTCAAGTACTTTGCCCCAGGGCACAGGGCCAGGACAAAAGAGCTGACCCAAGGTCTCTGCTCCGGTCTGGCTCCCATAAGGTGGCTCCCACACGGTGACCCCTGTGGAGAGGCTGGGATGCGGGTGTGGGGAGCCGCCCGCACACGCTGGGCTCTGAGCATCTATCTGCACCTGGGCTGGGCAGTGGGCATGGGTAGGGAGTGGTTCAGTGCACACCCTGTAAAGCAACGCCCGAAGGTGTCACCACAGAGCAAGGAGGTCTCCTCCTTGCCAGTAAAGAGGCTATTAGCTCCCGTCTGAGCAGCCCCTCCAGGAGCCCAAACTGATTCCAGGATGCTGACTGCTGACGGTGCAGGCCCCCCGGTGCCCATCACACTTCCCGTGAGGCCAGGACACACTGCAGCCCCTGGTCACTCATCTGACCCAGCCGATTTGCCCCGAGGACTCAGGCTGTTTCCAGAATCCCATCCGTCCCACAGGAGGGAGAGTTGTACCCCCCGAGGCTCTTCTAGCAACTCTGTCTGGGCCCCTGCAGAGAGGGCAGGACAGCAGGGAGCCGGGAAGTGGCCCTAAAGCCAGGTTCCCCTAAGGTGACTGCTCTGAGGATGATGCCAGTCATTCTCAGGGCGAGCTTCCTGTGCGTTTCCTGAAAAATCAGGCTCCTGGTCCCATACCCTCCCTTTATACGTGGCCACCAGCTCCCCGCCTGCTGGCAATGTCTCCAGGGAATGCTTTTCTGCCCTCTCCCAACCTACACACACACTGTGGCTGTGGCCCTGGGCATGGTGTGACTGATTCCAGGCAAAACATTCCAATCCAGCAGTGGGCATGGGCACCAGGCCCAGAGCCAGGAACACACACCCACCAGCTCCAGGGTGTACACTGGGTGCTGCCAGGGAGCCCAGCACTAAACCGGCCCTCCAGGCCAAGAATTATTTCTAGAAGGCATCCTGCTGGGCCAGCAACCCCACGCCCTTCCTCTAAGCCAGGTGTCAGGGAACAGAGCAGGGCTGGCCCTCAGTGTTCCCCTTCCATTTCAGGCTGGCAGCCCCCTGCCCTTGGAGCACATCTGGTCCCTGGTCTCTCCAGGGGGTGTTCTTCATTTCCCCAGTCTCCCCTTTCTCCCCCACTCCTCCCTTCCCCGATCTGTTTTTCAGTTACATAACGTGCCTTAAGATGGCACTGTTTAAATCCATCCAGCACACTTTGCAGTCTGAGAAGGGTCACGTGGCCCTGCTTCGAGCCCCGAGTCTCACCCCCCCCACACACTTTTACAACCTTGTTTGATTTCTGCGACTTCAAGGCTGAGCCTCCCGAGCTCATCCGTGGGCCTCGGGTGAGATTGGGGCTGGCTGGAGTTGGTGACTTGGAAACCGCGGGGCTGCACGCAAGATGCCTGGGCTTGGGTCACTCAGAAGAGAAAACCTCAGGGGTGTGCTCAGGGTGGAGGGAAGGACCCGGAAATCCCCAGAGGATACCAGGGGCACCAAGGAGCTGGGAGGAAACCTGCTCGGGGCCCAAATGTGCCATGGACCATGAGGACCCAGCCCCAGCCCATGCCCTGCTCTCTGCTGTGGATGGGGACTGGCTAGAGCCAGGTTTTCCTAGCCAGGGAGGACCTGAGCCAGCCAAAGCTATAGTGCAAAGTTGCTGAAGATTAAACAAATCAGACTTGGAAAAATCCTGTGAGTGTGTGAGTGTGGCGGGGGAGGGGGGAGGGAACCCCAGGCAATCCCTTCCTCACTCTGCTTCCTGAGATGTCCCAAGCCCAGGGCACCCCAGTCCTGCCAGGAACACCAACTGGAGAACCTGGGGCAGGGATGGGGCTGGAGGGGTGGAGGAGCTGAGGGCTTTTACACTCCCAGCCTGAGCTATGCAGGAAGCCAGGACCAGAGGCAGGGTCCCACTGGTCCAGGGAGCTGAGACAGGATGCATGACCCCCCAGCCCCCCATGACCATTACCTTTCTCGAGCTCGCTGATCCGCTGGTGCAGGGAAGTCAGGGCACTCTCGATCTTGACTCTTTCCTCGGTGTCATTTCTGGGGCCCCCCTTGCCCTCCTCCAGAGTGTTCACCCGAGACAGCACCTGCCTCTCCAGGTCATCTATCTTGCTCTGCAGCAGATCCTTGAGGCTGTTGGTCTGGCTGGAGGAATTGAGCCGGCTGTACTGCTGCGAGGGTGCAAGGGCGGGAGGGGGGGGGGGAAACCATATCGTTACGCGTGGAGCAGGGGCCATGCCGGGAGGCCGGTGGCGCGGTCCCCTCAGGGCGACTGCGGGGGCAGTCTGGCGGGGAGCTCGGGCGAGTGGCCGTCCGCGGGGCCCCGCACGCTTGGGGAGGGCCCAGCCAGGCATCGGCACCCGGCCGAGGCCGGGGTTGGGGGTGTCGGGCCGGGTCGGGAATGGAGGTGGGGGAGGGCAGAGGGGCGCGCGAGCCAGAGGGGAAACAGCGGCGCGCGCGGACCTCGAGGTTCTCCAGGCGGGTTTTGAGCGACTGCAAAGTTTGCCCGAGTTGGCTGAGCGTCTCGGCGGCCGGCGTCCGAGACAGGTCGCCCATGGTGTTCTTGCCCGAGCCGGGCTGCTTGCGGCCGCCGCCCGTCCGCGCCTCGCCGGCGCTCGCGTCCAGCGTGCTCTGGCTCTCGCAGCGGCCCAGCTTGGTGGTTAGCTCGCGGATGGTCTCCTTCTGGCTCAGGATGGTCTCCTTCTGCTGCAGCACGGTCTCGCGGAGCTGCAGCACGTTGCTCCGGAGCTCCTCGGCGCCGCCGGCGGCCACGGACGCGGCGCACATGTCGGCGTCCACCGGCACCGAGGTGCAGATGAAGCGCGTCGGCCCAAAATCCTGGGCCCCGCTGCCCAGGAGGCAGAGGGCGAGCAGCACACAGGTGCGCGCGGCGCGGCCGGCCAGCATGGCTGCGGGCGCTGGGACCCGGCGCTCTGGGCCGGGCTCGGCTCGGCTGGAGCTCCGCGGGCGGCCAGCGCTCTGGGCGCCGCGCTGCTCACTGTTCCGCCGCGCACTCCGCACCGCCGCGCTGTCCGGCCCCCACTGCCGCCTGCGCTGCGGAGCCCGCGCCTTTTATGCCACCGCGGGAGGGGCCTCGCGCTGCCGACGTCAGCGGGGGAGGAATCCCGCTTTAATTGTCTGCGGCCCGGGCCCGCTGCTCGGCTGGGGTCGTAGGGGTGCGTAGTGGGGGAGACTTCCCCCACCCCCCGGCGCCGCCGCGGCCTTCGCACCAACCTCTACCGGCCCGTCCCTGACCCCAGCCGAGAACGGAAGGGATGGGGTGGGGAGAGGAGGGTGGGCCGGGCCGCGGCCTCGGACTCCTGGATGGGCCACCTGCATGGTGTCCCCAAATCTCCGACGGGGCTCGGGGCGTGTGGGAGGCCACGGAGGACCCGGGAGACAGAATTCGGCTCAACCCGCTCGGCTGCACTGAACACCCGCGGGGCCCGGACCCGGTCCCCAAGGACTCAAGTCGTCCACACCTGCGTGCCGGGTGGGGAGCGCCGGGAGCAGAGCCTCGCTACGTCGCTAAATCCCGAGAGGGGGTCGCGGGACCGCTCCAAGTTTCTTAGATGTCCGTATGCGGTTAAAAAGATGCTATACACATCAGGTCTGGGGGCTTCCCACGCCCTCGTTCTTGGCTCTCCTGTGCCCTCCCCCACCCCCCAGCTCCGAGCTTTGGGGACTGGCAACGTCTCCTGGGATTGACAGCCCCCCCCTCGTGCCGGCGGGGCAGGCGGGCACTTTCGGAGGCGTCCCTTGCGGATTAAGCCTTTCCTGCCAGCCGAGCGGGCCCGATTCCGGGCAGACGGCGCCGCTGGAGCTGGACGGTCCCTCCAGCCCCGGGGGAGGAGCCACGCTTCCGAGGGGACCCTGCAGGCGGACCGTTTCGCGTTCTCCGAGCGCCTTCCCATCGCGGAGATGTGAGGGCACGTGTGTGTCCGTGTGCCAGCTGCGGTGCGTTCGTGTGTCCATGTCTGTGTGTGTTCGCGTGTGTGTTGGGCTTTCTGGACCCCATGCACCCCAGCTGTGCCCACTTCTCTGCCGCTGGGGAGGGGTCCGGGACTTTGGGAGGGGGGCGTCGCACCTGCGAAGCTCCAAACGATGGTAGGTTACTCATAGTCACCCCACTCACCCGCCCACACACTCGAGCCATTTTTCTGGGCAGCGGCGCCGCGGGGCTCGGCTCTCAGATTTCCGTCCAGTTTTCAGTGCCCGGTTCGGGACTCCCGACTAGGGCCTGAGACCCTGGCCAGTCCCTGGCGGTCAGAGCCAAAGGCGCTTCGGAAGCTCCCACTGTGCAGAGGAGGGCAGTGAGGTACCAAGACATCGGGGTCCGGCTCGATGCGACAGGTCGAGCCATAGCTACAGTCGCAGTCGGGGCCGCCCGGCGGACATCCCCGCCCCAGGCCCCGAGCCCTTCATTCCGCCTCCTCTGTGCTCTGCGATGCCCCCGCCGTTGGCAAGTGCGCGGGTCCCTGCCCGGAGGGACCCACAGGCAGCTCCTGGGTGCGGAGCTGACTTCCGCCCCGCGGGTGGGAGATGAAGCCAGCTCTACTGAGACCTTTTTGATAAGCCACGATCTCCTCCCTCTCCGCAGCCTCCTCCCACCCCCTGCCCCCCGGGCTACCCGCGGCCAGAGTCTTTCAGCGGCGCCAGAGGGACCCCGCGACCCGCAAGCGGCTGTCCTGGGCTTGGCGCGCCTCGGTCCTGGGCTGTGCTGGCTTTCCGGCCCCAGCGGCAGCGCTCGCCCACCACTGAGCCCTGAGACCTGCCGCAGCTCACAGCCCGGCCCTAGGCCGCGGGAGGGGGCCGGCCACGAGGGTCCCACGCGTGTCTGCGACCGGAGCACCCCAGGCCAGCAAGCGACTCGGGAGGAATTACCCGCGCTAGGGGCACCACGGCTTCTGCCCCAACTCCCATCCTAAGACCGGATGGAGCCACCCCCCCACACCCCGTCACCCCCGGGTCAGCGTCCCCCCAGCGCCGCGCGCTCCCCCGGGCCAGGGCTGCGTGTGGCCGGAGGCCGATTTCCGTGGGGCCCTGAGGGCACAAAGGGATGGCGCTCGGCAGAGATCGCGCGTGGGCGCGGGAGAGGAGCCCAGCTGGGCCGGGAGGAAGGTGTGGACAGAGCGGGAACCCTGGGCTGGGCCTTGCGTCCTGAGCCCCAGGAGCGGCAGGGGCTTGCCTGAGTAAGGCAGGGACCTGGGCTTTTACCTCCAGAGGAGATCTCAGCGGTTGGCACTCGGCACTTGGGCACTGAGGGCCAGATCCCGACCCTTCCCATCGCCCCACACACACACACACACACACACACACACACACACACACACACACACACACACAAGATGGAGTAGACTGAGTCTGAAGGGGAGGAGGGGCCCTGGGGCAACGTCCAGGGGCAGTGGGATCTCTGGGAGGGAAGTATGCAACCCTGAGGGGAGGACACTGCGGTCAAGGACCCAGGAGCCCTTGGTCCCAAGGGCGACCTCTGTGGAGCTCTCTGTCTGCCAGAAGGCAGTATGTGGGACACCTGCGCAGAAATGCTGTGCTGTGCTGAGGGGCTGGTAGGGGCACACTGTGGCAGCCCTCTGCCTTCTTTAAATCTTTTAAACTCTGTACCCAAGACCCTGGGCGGGAGAGATTCAATCTGGGTAGTGTTTGCAGCTTCCTCTCCCTCCCCGGAGTTCAGGAGGGATCTGGAGGTTGGGGACTAGAAAGTCAAGGGCTGCCTTTGCCCAAAACCCTCAGGGGAAGAACAAGTTGCCCGGCCACCTGGTCTGAAGGTCTCACATGTGTGCACCTGCTCTCCCGACCTGAACCGTGCACACCAGAACTGCAGCAGGGATGGGCGGGGGTGGGCGGGAGGAAGTGCTGTATACACACTTGCAGTGGAGTTGGGAAAAGATGTGGCAGGATCACACAAGTATATGGTTTTCCCACCTCGTGGATGCAATAGATGCGAAGAACCTAAAAAGCATAGATAATAGTAAAATGTAGTAGAAAACATTAGAAAGTGATGAGTTCTATGTATTACCTTCATTCTTAATGTAATTTATGTAATTGTAAGTTTGTATAATTTAAATTTTAATGATGGCTGTGTTTAACAATCAGCTTGCAAATTCCTGAAAATGTAGCAATCAGCTGGAGCCAGCCAGCTGGGCACATCACTGGTGGAAGAGGATGGAGAGGCCTTCAGAGGTTAAATTGGGGGGGGGGGGCAGGTACCTCGATGTAAGGAAAGCAAAGGGAGCTGGTGGAGAAGTGTGGCCGGAGGCTCCCCAGCTGTGGCCAGCGTAGTAAAGGCAGGCAGGCATAGGAAGGCTAAACAGGTGGGTCGGGCACTATTCTGAGCACGTCAGTGCTGTTGAGGGTCTTTACCCAGTGGGTGGTGGGAGACCACCCAGGGAGGGTGCCCAAGCCTGGTGCTGTGCCCAGGACTCTCACCCATACTGTGGTGTCTCCTGGCCCTGTTCTCTTCAAGGGCCAAGGCCATGGGCTGGCCTAGGAAGGAAAGAGCTACCCTCATGGCAGGCAATAGGGGGGCGCTGGGTGGGTGCTGGGAGGGCACAAGGAGGACCTGGGAGGACCTGGGAGGGCACTGGGAAGAGCTGGGAGGACAATGGACCCAGGCCAGGGCCCACCCACCACTTGACTCTGAGCCCATCTAGCATGAGGGTCCACCCTGCCTTTTGAAATAGCTCTCCCCGCAGCGGGGAGGCTAGGGAGTGGAGGGGGAGGCTGGGGAGTGGAGGGGGAGGCTGGGGAGTGGAGGGGGAGGGCCAGGCAAGGCCCCGGGACCCCATCTGGGAAGAGAAGAAGGCAGGAGTCCTCACTGATCTGGCTCTGGACACGGGTGGGCTCCTCAGACAAGAGTCAGGCCCATGTCACTGCTAAGGACATGTCGTGGACCCCGCTGGGTGAGCTGGCGTCTCACCTGGGATGGGAGGACGCTACGGTAATGTAAGTAGCTGCTGTTTTTTTTTTTGTTTGTTTGTTTGTTTTTTGCGGTCCGCGGGCCTCTCACTGTTGTGGCCTCTCCCGTTGCTGAGCACAGGCTCCGGACGCGCAGACCCAGCGGCCATGGCTCACGGGCCCAGTCGCTCCGCGGCATGTGGGATCTTCCCGGACCGGGGCACGAACCCGTGTCCCCTGCATCGGCAGGCGGACTCTCAACCACTGCACCACCAGGGAAGCCCGTGGCTGCTGTTTTAAATGTGCGGGGACACGTCTGCCATGCTCCTGAGTTGATTTTTGCTTTTGTTTCTGTTTTTGGTTTGTTTCTGTTTGCAGCAGCCCCACAGTGCTGGTTATGATCTGTTTCTCAGTCTGGGTGCTGCTTTCGTAGGGGTGTTCACTTTGTGTCCAGGAGGATGACTTATGCATCACTCTATGTGTGGTTATTTGAGGGGGACAGCACCCACAGGTTGTCCCTGGAGCAGAGGAGACAGGCTTCTGGCTGCTACCAGGTGAGAGTCGGCAGGTACCTCTGGCAGCCAAGCCCTCACAACAGAGCCAGGCCATGCGACTCCCATGTGAGAAGCTCCTGGGCCCAAGGGATTGGGGATGGGGCCACTCTGACAGCAGCAAGACCCATGGGGCCTCTGACCCCTGGCCTGGAGTAGCATTCCTGACAGGCCCCATCCACCCACTCTGGTGTGACGGGGACACATCCCCGCTGCCCAGCTCTGCTGGGGGAGGGACCACACCAGAACCGTCCCCTCTGCCCTCTCCTCAGACACCCCTGCGGTAATAGCCTTATCTTACAAACAAGGAATTGTCCTTTTCAAAGCCCTCTGTCCATGTTCATTCACTTGCCTCCCTAAGGCATGGCTGGGCTATTGTCCTTACTTGGCAGATAAGGAAACCAAGGGAAGTCCAGGGTCTCCCACACGTGCAGTGAAGACAAAGCTGAGGGGCAAGCCCTGGCCTTCACACACCCACCCAGCTTTCTCCCTGCGCGGCACAGTCCCCCTCTCCCCGCCCACCCCACTACTCCCCTCCTCAACCCCGAACCCGCAAAGGAAAGAGCTCT